GTCAGTAAAGTATGTGCTGGGCATACAAAATTGAATAAATGAGTAAGACATAATCTCTGCTCTCAGGGACCTCTTAAGCTATGCCCAAGGGGAAACAGACAGATAAACAAGTATATAGTATTAAGTGTTATAGGTATTGTGACAAAAGCCCCAAGTACAGTTCAGTCACAAAGGAGGAAGGGAGTGATTATACCGAAGGGACTGGAAGGAAAAGCAACATAGAGGCTGCTTAGTAAAAGACAAAAAGATGTGGAAGAGTGTTCTAGGAAGAAGGAGAAGTAAGAGCAAAGATAAAAGGTGTAAAAGAAGATTGCACTTTTGAGAGCCACAAATAGTTTGGTAATGCTGGGGCTTGGATTTTAAGGTGGGGTTGGGGAGAGTTAAAACCAGGGACCAGATTTTGGAGAGGCTTAAATATCACGTGAAGGATCTGGGGCTTTATTTTAACAGCAAGGAGAGAGAGAGTGTTTGAAGTATTTTAAGGAGGGCGTTAACATGATCACTCTGGTGAGAGTATAGAAGATCAGTTAGATGCAAAGAGACTAGTCCAGACTAGAGATTATGAGGCCTGAATAAAGGCAGTAACAGTGGAGATAGAAACAAGGAGGATGGCTGGTGTTAAAGAGATGCATCTGGCAGGATTTGGTGACTGTGTAGGAGTTTAGGTAGAAGAAAACGGAGAAATCTACAGTAATTCCCAGATTTCTGTCTGGGGTCAGATTTCTGTTTATAGTGTACTGGGTGATGCTATTGACAAGAATGCAAAGTATAAGAATAAGAGTAGTTTGGAGGGTGGGAAAGGGAAGAGAACTTGTTAGTTATCTTAGACATAATGAATTCAACAAAGTCCTATGGGACATCCAAATGTATTTATTCACTTAACAGTTAGCTGTGTCCTGGTATGAAATTCAAAAGGGAAGTCTGTGCTAGAGGTGTCACCATGGAGGTGGATTGTCATTGATGCAAAGGAGATTATTCAGGCAGTGCTTTTAAATAACAAGGTGCAATAATTAACACATTAGGTTTATTATAGAAATTAAACAAAGGATGTCATTGTGTCATGTTAGGTTATCTGAGCCCATAAACGTAGACGTTTTAGAGTGATCTGCATTATATAAACCTTCACTAAGTGGTGCCTCTAGTTACTGCTAGTTACTTTGGGTGTAGTTTCTCTCTTACTTTTTTTCCACTAGGCTTTGCTCATGTCAACTCTTCAGTTATGGTACCTTAAAAAATGCTAAATTGCTTTAAAAAAGTCAAATGTGTAGATTCCAAGGGATATCAACTTTTATGGTCAATATGGTTATTCCTATCTTGAACTATCTGCTGGTGTTTCTTTTTAGTCTTGTCAGGATAATTCTGTAATATGACTTAGTTGTGTACTTGAAACAACACTATGTCATGAGCATTTATAGTTATAAAGGGAAATTTTGGTGTAATACTGTAGCAAGTGGTGGTATAAACACAGTAGCAAGAATTACTTTTCTTTGAAGTGAAGAAAGGTGTCGATTCATTTCTGTGGTAGTAGCTGCTAAGCAGTCCTGGACAGCTTGGAGTTTAAATACAATGGGGGGCCGGTC